CCTGCTGAGCTCATCACTGGACCCAGTTCAGTTTGCCTACCAACCTGCTGTGGCACCGGAGTGGATGACCGTCATTCACCTCCTACATCGTTCAAAAATCATTTTCACTGAGTTATCCAGTGCCTCTAGAACCATTCTTCCCACAGTTCTGAAGGACAAGCTGGAGAACATAGAAGTGGACCATCACCTCACAACATAGATACTGGACTATCTGACCGACCACAGTATGTGAGAACTCAGGCTGTGTCGGACAGGGTCATCTGTAGCACGAGGGCCTCACATGGAACAGTTCTGACTCCGTTCCTCTTCACCATCTACACTGCAGGCCTCTCCCACAACTCCACCCAGTGCTTCCTGCAGAAGGACGGACAGTGTAGTTTGCTGGGGCAGCAGCATCACTGCTGGGGACAGAACGAGCCTGAACAGGCTGATCCAAAGGACCAGCTCTGTTCTAGGATGCCATCTGGACCCAATGGAGGTGGTCAGTGACATGATGGCTAAGCTGTCATCCCTACTGAACAACAAGATAAGATAAACTAGGTTTATCTTATCTTATCTTACTGCAGTCACTTTAATTTTAAAACTGTGTAATTTTAAAACTGTATATACTGTATATTCTGTGTATTTATTATTTCAATCTTATTGCCTGTTCTTATTGTCCTTATCTTCAACGTTATGCTGCTCTGTTGTTTGTTAATTGTCCCTTGGGGATAAATAAAGTCTTCTGATTCTGATTCTCCTATCGTTGATAAAACAATTATCATTAACATCCCCACTCAGGTGAGGGATCTCCAGCCACTTACCGTCCCTGGTGGTCTAGTGGTTAGGATTCGGCGGTGCCCGGGTTCGATTCCCGGTCAGGGAACTAATTTTTCAAACAATGTCAACTCTGCGCACATTTGAGCACATATCAAAGTCTAACTATGAACTCCTTGGCTCTTTTAACCGGATTTACGCACAAAACTAAATATCCTACTCTCAAAACTCTAGCATCATAAGACATGGTCCTTACTTAAACTTCAATCATAATTTCTAAGAGCAGAATGTTCAAGGTTCTTTATTTGTCACATGCATAGTTATACAAGTATAACA